TTGGTCATAAAAACGAGTTATAGTCCTTATTTAAGTAGTATTATGTTTCCTAGTTAGTTTGGGATTTGTTTTCCTATTCCTTTTAGGTTAGATTTATGTTTCTATGACCTCTATAAATAGAGGATGTAAGAGCTACGAATTTTGTACCCAATATTCAAGTTATCAATTAAGAGTTTTTACTCGTGTTCCTTTGTGAACGTTTGTGCAAGCTTCTGTCGAGAGTCTCCAGGAGTTTCACGTGTCTCTTATCAACTAGAGAACGCGTCTAGTTGTGGCGAGCATCTATCCTATATCAATTGCCCCTTTCCACGAGTTGATTCTGTCCGATTGGTTTAATATACCAATTGCCCTTTGTCACGAGTTGGGATTGTCCGATTGATTCCGCATCTATCTTTTATTTCAAGTTGGAGAAAAGCTTCGAAAATCCTTAAAAAGAAGGAAGGCTGCGTACTTTGGTCATATAATCCGAGTTCGAGGATTCTCTTCGGATTTGGATCATATCAGCCCAAATTAACACGAAAACCAAATTAACCAAACCAAATTAACCAAATAACATAACATTACATAAAAACGATTATCCTATTAATGAATGAAACATAACCATATGTTGTTACTATCATAAAATATCATTATATATAAGCAATAATAATAAGACTAACCATCCATGATTATCATCATCATTCGAGTTAATACATAATTCATCATCTATGCACATAATATAGTTAGTTTACAACAAACCCCTTAACATAAATACATACCTATACCCCTCATCAGGAAGTTAAAGCTCTCATACAAAACACTTAAACTATACATAGTATTGTACGTAATCCTAAAGTCTAGTAGCTGTCCAAATGTTTTGGTTTAGTAAATAGGCAGGTCATTTAATTTTTGACCCATAATGTTTTGGTTGTTGTGCACATAAAAATAAAATCGGGAATCACGAAAGTTTGGTTTAGTTGGTTGCATGGAAGTATAAAATTTTGTGTATTAGGCATATCATTAATTGGTTAATTGGTTTCATTGGTTAGCAGTATTGAAACCAAACCACATAAACCAAATAAGCTAAATTGTTTAACCAAATTAACCGAATGCTACCGGTTAATATGGTTGCTACGGTAACAAATCCGTTTGAACACCCCTAGTTTCAACGGACAGGCCCGACCCAACTTGACTATCCTACTCCTTTAAGAGGACTCCATTCAACGGTTCACATTAAAAGGCCAGTTAATTAATGGTTATTATTGGTTAGAAGAATAGATAGCGGAGTGAGAAAGCCATTAAGTTTGAGAATTGAAGTAGACATACCACTTAAGTTTAAAAGGCATCAGGTATCATTAATGTCGCCAAAATGTTCATCCGTCTACTTTTCCACCAAACCCAAAATTTTAATTATTTTTTGATACCCAAACTTTTAAAAACATCCAAACTATTTTTCAACAAGTTTTATCTGATATAATAATTAGAAAATTTTTTAAACATATTATTACTAGAATGACTAATCAAAATTTGTCAATAAAATAGATAAATTAGTCAAAATAATAAAAAAATATAAAAAGAATAATAAATATACTAGAATATAATAATAAATATTTGAAATAAATATTAGAATATCTATTTAAATTTCCTAATTCAATTAGAAGCACCATTAGAAATAGTTAAAATAGAACATAATCGATCATAAATACAACAAAATCAAAGAAGGATAAATGGAACAAAATCAGAAAGATTTAAACATATTCCACTAATTGAAAAATTTTAGAACGAAAAGATATGAAAGTACCCAAATAATAAATAAAATACAAAAGCTACTACATTCAGTAAAAAATGTGGAAAAGAAAGTACGACTATTAAAGCTATAATATTAATGGAATAATTCAATTATTAAAACACATCATGATAATTGAAAATAGTTATAATGATAATTGATTCTAAATTTTTTATTCAAAAATTGCTTTGGTATCAGTATTCAAAAGATGATTCTAACTAAAAGCTACTACATTCGGTAAAAAATGTAGAAAAGATAATATGACTATAAAAACTACAAATTTGTTTAGTTACAACATTAATGGAAGACTTCACCTCCAGGGGTTTCAGATCATTATAGGTTGGTTCTTTAGCCTTATCCGAAGTTGGCATCCCTCCCTAAGCCTTTCAAGTATTTCAAGTTCCGGAGCTTTCATCCAGGCTATCAGGATATGGTTACTGAAGCTTGGAAATCTCCGATAAGTGGTTATCCACATTATATATTTTACAGGAAGTTGCAGGAGGTATAAACCAGACTTAAAAAGCTGAACAAGGAAGTTTACAGAGATATCTCAAGTCATGCAAGAGAGCTTGAGAAGCAGCTGGAGATTCTTCAAACTGGGGTGCTATACATCCTGATTAAGATAATGTTGAGGCAGAGGCTAATTTGGTTAAGCAGTGTCGTGAAATTCAAAAAGCAGAAGAATTACTTTAAAAGCAGAAGTCTCGTATCGAGTGGGTTCAAATAGGGGATATGAATACATCATTTTTTCATCAAGCATTGCATTTGCAGGTTAGAACTCATAAGCAGCAGATCACAATTATGAAAGATGAAAATGGAACTAAAGTTACAGAAGTGCCTAAAATGGGGCAGGTTGCTGTGGATTTTTACACTCATTTGATTGGAGAGGTGGATCTGAATGTTCAGGAAGCTTTTGTGGGATTTTATGAGTCTATCTTATCCAATAAAGCTACTGATGGTGATAATAAAATGCTTAATAGAGGTATCTCTGAGGGTGAGATTTATCAGGTTTTTAAACAGTTGGGTAGAGACACCCCCCCCCCCCCCGGGCCAGATGGGTTCCCAATTGAATTCTATCTGCTTCACTGGGATTTAATTAAAGCTGATATGCTTGCTATTATATCACAGTTCTATCGGACCGAGCATATGCCTAGAAAAATCAATGCTACTGTGTTCACTTTAGTAGCTAAGGTGCAGAATGTTGTTCAATGAAGGATTTTCGGCCGATCTCCTGTTGTAATACCTTAAACAAGGGGATTGCTAAAATTGTAGCTAACCTCTTGGTTGTTGTTCTCCCTTCCCTGGTGAGTCATTCGCAATATGCTTTTATCAAAGGTAGATCTATGACGGATAACATTCTCCTTTGTTTTGAACTAGTTAAGGGCTATCAATCAAACTCAATTAGTTCACGTTGTGTGATCAAAATTGATTTCATGAAATTTTTTGACTCTATGAATTGAGGATTCATATTTGATGTCTTGGCTACTATGGAAATTGAGGAAAGTTCATCAATTTGCTTAGGGCCTGTGTGTGCACCCCAATGGTCAGTGTTTCTCTAAATGAAGGATGTATGGTTTCTTTGGAATGCAGAAAGGGTTATGACAGGGTGACCCTTTATTGCCTATTTGTTTACCATTGCTATGCAGGTATTGTATGGATTAATGAAGAAGGCTGCACTAGAGAATCAAATCCCTTACCATCCTCGTTGTAAACCTCTAGCCATAACACATCTCCGTTTTGCTGATGATTTGCTAGTGTTTACAAATGGGTCAATTAGGGGGGTTGCGGCTGTTAGGAGATTATTAGATGAGTTCTATAGTTTATCTGGACTCCGCTGCAACCCTGCAAAATGTCAACTCTTTTGTGCAGGAATCTCGGAAGAAGAAAAGCATAGTATATCTGTCAATGCTGGTTTCCTTCTTGGGAAGCTCCCAGTTAAATACTTGGGGGGTTCCTTTGATTACCAGTAAACTTTTAAGAAGGGGCTTTCGTGCCTTGGTGGATAAAATCACTCATAGGGTTCAAAGTTGGAGGGCTAAGCTGTTGAGCTTTGCGGGGAGGGTTCAACTTATAAGTTCGATGCTGGCAAGTATATTACAGTATTGTATGGACATTTTTGTGCTCTCCAAGTATGTCATCACAGAAGTGGAAAAGATATGTAATTAGTTCCTGTGGGATATATCGGATACAAGTATGAGAACAAGGGCTCTGGTAGCTTGGCAGTATGTTGCTTGTCTAAAGAAGGAAGCCGGTCTTGGCATTCAAAACTTTGTGATCTGGAATAAGGCTTGTGTGATTTGGCATGTTTGGAGTGTTCTTATTTCTAGCGGTTCATTATGGGTTGCATGGGTGCTCCGTTATCGTGTTAAACAGACGTCTTTTTGGGATTTGAAGGTAGAAGCTGCTGGCTCCTGGATTTGGCGGCAGGTGCTGAAGTGTCGAACTGAAATTCAGCATCTTATGTCTGGCCAGGGAGATTCCTTGCTTTGGGATGGCGAGCCTATGACTCATTAGTTTGTCAAAGGAATTTGGGAAGATATTAGGCCTCACTACTCAACTGTTGTGTGGGCTGAAATGATTTAGAGTAGAGAAGTGGTGCCAAGACATGGATTTATCCTCTGTTTTGTTGTTCTAGGCAGATTGCGTACTCAGATAAGCTGCTTGTTTGGGGTAAATCTGTCTCAGGGTACTGTGTGCTTTGTCTGGGAGGGGTTGAGTCTTGTTTTCACCTATTATATGTAAGCCCTTTTGTCAAGTTCTTTGTTAGAAAGTGTATGTCTTCTCTTTCTCTTGTTGATGGTCTACTGTCATGGGAGGAGGTGATTGAGTGGTGTGTTAGCATCTGGAAGGGTGAATGGGATGAAGTAGTTGCTTGTAGAGTGTTCTGGAGTCTTGCTATTAGTATGCTTTGGCGGGAAAGTTGTTCGAGATTGTATGGGGTGAAGGCTGTTAAGTCCCCTGGTGTAATTTGTAGTGATATTTGAAGAACTCTGGTATGGCGGGCTGAAGTGGATTTGGAGCTGCAGAAGAGTCTTCATGTGATCAGATTGGATTAGTCCCTTTAATGTTTTAGGTTCAAATTTCTTGAACAGTTGTATTGTTTGAGAGGCACTCAAAAGGGGTTTCCTTTTGAGTTGCTTGTGCTAAATGAAATTTTTGATTAACCATAAAAAATATTAATGGAATAATTCAATTATTAGAACACATAATGATAATTGAAAATCATTATAATGATAATTGATTCTAAATTTTATATTCAAAATTTGGTTTGGTATCAAGTATTTGACATGCTTCTACCGTCACACTAGAAAGTGGCCAAGTGTAACCACCTACTAATGCGTAGTATAGTGGGTTTAGTTCTAATTGTCAATACGGGTCCTAGGTGTGATGACTACTCCGTGAAAGTCTTGTTATCTAGCGGTTCAAGTGTAGTGAAGGTTCAATTAAACTAGCAAGAAAAATAGTGAAAGTTGTGTTCAAGTTGAGAGAGGTCACCCGGATATGGTCCCCATAGACTGCAGTTAAGCCAGGTTGTAATTTACCAAGTTCAAGTTCAATGATAGTTATACTGCGGGAGGTTCTTAAATAGTCTGCAGTCTCGACTAAAGGTCTCCATACTTCTCAATCTGAGTCCCCAACGGATGACTAACCTCCACCGGAGTAAAAAGATTGGGGCCCTAATGAACCAAACCTCCTTTACCGAAGTAAATCTGGTACAGAATAGTGAATTAACTCCTCGACTAAAGTCGTCAATTCGCTACCTTCAATCAAGGGTGCTCTATCAATCTAGGCACATATTCTATTTCTATATCAAAGTAGAAATAACAGGAATTTGATCAGGATTCATGCCATTCAAGAAATCAAACCTCAATTGAATACAATCATATCACTGAATTCGTACTTGGGTTCATAAAATCAGACCTAACATACAAATCTAGGGTTCTTCATATCCAGGTGAATGAGAAAGTTACTTCATGGAGAGAGACGGGAAATCTAGCGCAGACGCGGAAACCATACTGTGAAGGATGGGATTCTACTTCTGGCAATCAATCAGCACTTCTCCAAGCTCAAGCCGGGCTCCAATGGTGATAAAGATCGATCTAAGGCGCTTGAAGAATCAGGTTCGTCACTTTCTCTATCTAGGTATACACTTTTTCTCTCCAAAACTCAGAACCCTTTCAAAATTGGTCTTCTTTCTCTTAAGAATCAACTGTTCGCGATCCCCGGTCATAATCCTCGGTCGGGTATTTCAGGTGCCCAACCGAGGATTTTGAAACGCAGCGCCGCGGTAAAGGGTTAATACCCGATCGGGTATTTAAGCTGTCCGGCCGGGACCCCTCCTGGACTTCAGACGTCCCAAAAGCACGAATCCTCGGCCTCCTTAGCATTTTACCCGAATGGGTATTTTAACTCCTGGCCGGGTATTTTGCTCTTATAGCGCCCTTCACTCCCATGTCCTCCTTTTTTACCCGAAACTCGTTTCCTCGCCTTCACGTCAACGCCAAGTCCTGAAATATGGCATAAACATACAACCTAGCGTGAAATCCGCTTAAAACACGAGAATCGACTCTCAAACGACTCAAGAATGGAAGTAAAAACATGTGAAATTATTGGTCTATCAAATTCACCCACACTTAACCGTTTTCTTGTCCCCAAGCAAACCTAACTCAAACCAATGCAGCTCTCCAGACCTCTATAGCAACAAACTACCCCCGATTGCTGGTAGAGGATTTCCTAGATCATGTAGCAGCTTACGAGGTCAACTGGTCTTCTAAGACGTCCCCTATCTCTCTCAATGTGAGTACTAGACTCAAGACAGGATCATGAGAAGAAGTGGAAGTAAGAAAACCAGTTCATAGGTAAAGGGACTCGCACCATTCACAACCAAGGACTCATTGTACCGGGGGTGCTCTTTCACTTCATTTCACCGTTGGAACTCCTTTTTTAACTTTCATTTTACATTTCTTTTTTTCCCAGCCGAGAGGTGCGGAACCACCCTGTGCTGTGGCGTGCCAGCCTCGTGATCATGGGACCACAGAAGAAGTAGGTGGGTTTGTTGTGGCACCGAGCAAAGGTGGTGGCCACAACAGACCCTAGGTGCAGTAGATGGTCAGGGCGCCCCATCGAGTACATGGCATACACCACTCTCTTTGGTATCTTGTGAGATCCGGTGGCGTTGGGATTGATCGAGCGGGTGAGCAGAAGTTTGAGGATGTGTCACTCCAGTAGGAGAGTGGAGACATAGGTCTGGCCAGCATCGAAGGGGTCGAACTGGTAGTCGGGACGGGCAATGCTCTGGTAGAACACGTCCTGCAGCCAGTCCTTCGGGTGGGCGACCTCCTTCTCATGGTGGGAGAATGGGTGGTAATGGATTCCCAATGCCTGGGCCAACCCGTCGATACTCAGCTCTCGTATATGGCCACCGAGCTGAAAAGTCACCGAGGTGGGGGAGTCTCTGGCCGCCTTGGGGCGGTACTGGAAGGTGGAGTAGAACTCCCATACCAGCTCCGTGTAAGTAGAGTCCTTGATGCTCAGGAGCATCCGCCACTGTGGGTGGCTGATGGCTGCGACGATCTCTTCCATGTAGTGGAGCTGCTGGAAAACGCCCCACACCAGGTGGTGATGGCGGTGGAACACGCCGTTGATGACCCGCCGGTACTGGTCGGCGTACTCCGGGTGCAGGCGTAGGCCCTGCATGAAGGGGTGGTCGAGAGACATGATCCTGCAAAATTAACAAACCAAAGGTGGAGCCCAGAAAATATGCATTAGGACCACAAGTATGGGTTCAACAGTTCCCCCACACTTTAAGGATACCTATGGTAAGCAAGCACGCACAAACGGTTGAATTGCAAGCAAAACAACCGCAATCAAAGCAAGAATCATGCACAAACGACCCATTCAAGTAACCGGGCATCACATATTAGCCAATCAGAACCACGACATCCCTCACCTTCTATTCTAATTCAAACATGCCAGGAAACTCGCAGTTCTCGGTCCTAAAAGCTACAGTCCGATTTTCCAGAAAAAAACAAATTGAGTAAAAACACACCTGGAAACTCAAGTAGGACCGTAGAGGGGGCGCGAGGAGAGGGTGAGGGACGCGCAACCACGCCCAAAATGGGCCAGAAAAGCTCGCCGGAAAGTGGACGAAATTTGTACGAAACGTCGCCGGAAAAACGGCGGGCGGCGGCGGGTGGCGGCGCGATGGAGGGTGGTGGCCGGCAGCGCTCACGCGGGAGTTTGGGGGGGGGGGGGGGGAGGAAATGACATGGAAGAGAGGGGAAGTTCGAAAAAAAAAGAGAGGAGATAGAAAGGTTTGACCGGGGTTGGCTTTTATAGGCAAAATACCTGGCCGGGCCTCAAAAATACCCGGCCGGTCCTCAAAAATACCCGGTCGGGTATTTTGAGGCCACGTTCGGGTATTTCACCTCAATCACCAATCATGAACAGGGGGGTCCCGGTCGCGAGGCCAAAATACCCGGCCGGGTATTTTGAGTTACGACGGGGTATTTTCCCCTTTGCGGCCAAATCACCCTTTTTATCATTTTTTCGAACTCCCTTGCACTAAACACCAAAACGAGGCATACCAGATGAACGAACTTCAGCAAAGGCGTGCAACTTACTCGAAGACAACTCAAAACACAGAAAAAGGGAAAAAGAAATGTATACCGTGGTGGGGTTGCCTCCCCACAAGCACTTCTTTACCGTCTTTTAGCTGGACGCCCATGGCGGAACTAACGTCCGCGAGTTCAACCACCAACTCCGCACGTTCGACCTCGTTTCGCAGGTAGAGCTTGAGACGATGTCCATTCACTTTAAATGGCTCAGTTTGCGGGTTGGCAATTTCAATCGTTCCATATGGAAACACCTGTGTCACCGTGAACGGTCCAGAACACCGGGAGCGGAGCTTTCCAGGAAAGAGTTTCAGGCGAGAGTTATAGAGGAGAACTCAATCACCAACCTGAAACTCCTTCAGACCCCGCAACCGTGCGTCGTGCAGGCGCTTAGTGCGCTCCTTGTACAACTTGGTGTTCTCATAGGCGTGGTAACGCCATTCCTCCAGCTCCAGCATTTGCAATTTTCGTTCAACACCTGCAACACTAACATCCAAGTTGAGCAGCTTAAGGGCCCAAAAGGCCTTGTGCTCTAGCTCCACGGGCAAATGACATGCCTTCCCATAGACAAGCCGGTATAGTGAAGTACCAATTGGCGTCTTGTAGGCAGTGCGATATGCCCAGAGAGCATCATCGAGCTTGGTGGACCAATCATTGCGGGACTGATCCACCATTTTCTCTAGGATACGCTTGAGCTCCCGATTCGTCAGCTTGGCCTAGCCACTCGTTTGAGGGTGATATGCCACAAACACCTTATCGAGACAGTAACTTATCAAACTGGCCCTGGAAATGGGTGTCTCGATCGCTAATAATGGCTCTAGGTGTCCCGAACCGGGAGAACAGCTGCTTCAGAAATCCACAAACACGTCTAGCATCATTAGTGGGCAAATCTTGTGCCTCAGCCCACCTAGAGACGTAATCAACAGCAACTAAGATGTAGGTATTTCCAAAGGATGGAGGAAAAGGGCCCATGAAGTCAATACCCCAGACATAAAAATTCTCATAGGTTATAAATACATTCTGGGGCATCTCATCACGGGCAGAGATATTACCTGACCTCTGGCATCGGCCGCACCTGCGTGCGAAGGCGTATGCATCCTTGAAGAGTGTGGGCCAGTAAAAGCCCGACTGTAGCACCTTTATCGCCTTGCGGTTACCGCCGTGGTGACCGCCAGTAGGTCCCTCATGGCAGTGAGATAAAATTCCCTCCATCTCACTTTCCATGACACAACGACGGATGATCTCGTTGCTCCGATCCTGAAGAGATGAGGGTCATCCCAAAAGTAATGCTTCAGGTCGGAGAAGAATTTCCTCTTGGTGTGAGTTGTCATCCCCTTAGGCAGCTGCTGGCTCACCAAATAATTTGAAAAATTGGAGTACCAAGGGGTGACACTCTCCACCACCACCAGGCACATCATCATCAATCGCTCATATGGGAAAGAATCGTCGATCTCCTCCACGAGGTTGTCCGCAGGTGGTGCATCCTACCGGGAAAGGTGATCAGCAGAAAAATTTTCAGCTCCCTTCTTGTCCCGAATCTCGATGTCGAACTCCTTTATTAGTAAGATCCATCGTATGAGCCTAGGCTTGGCATCGGCCTTGCTCATCAGGTATCGAATCGCGGAGTGATCTGTGTACACGGTCACATGGGACAAGACCAGATAAGGACGAAACTTGTCGAAAGCAAACACCACCGCGAGCAGCTCCTTCTCCATGGTGGTGTAGTTCTTCTAGGCATCATTGAGGGTCTTCGAGGCGTAATAGATAGGATGGAAGTGTTGATCTCGCCTCTGCCCCAAGACAGCTCCAATAGCAAAGTCACTGGCATCGCACATTAACTCGAACGGTAGGGACCAGTCAGGGGCGACCATGATAGGAGCATGAGTGAGCTTCTCCTTCAAGGTCGTGAATGCCGCTGTGCATGCATCGGTGAACTGGAAGGGGGCATCCTTCTCAAGGAGCTTTGTCAGGGGCAGGGCGATCTTCGAGAAATCCTTGATGAACCGCATGTAGAACCCTGCATGGCCTATGAAACTCCGGATCCCCTTAACAGATGTGAGTGGATGCACCTTACTGATGGTCTCGATCTTGGCCTTGTCCACCTCAATCCCCATCTTGGAGATCTTGTGCCCCAGAACTATGCCTTCCCGAACCATGAAATGACACTTCTCCCAACTAAGTGCCAAGTTTGTTTCTTCACATCGTTTAAGGACGAGTTCTAGGTTATGGAGACAGTGAGAGAATTAGTCTCCATAAACCGAAAAGTCATCCATAAACACCTCCATAAATTCCCCGGCCAGGCGGTCAAAGATAGCGAGCATGCATCGCTGAAAAGTGGCAGGGGCATTACACAGTCCTAATGGGATCCTCCTGTAGGCAAATGTGCCGAAGGGGCAGGTGAAAGTGGTCTTCGCCTGGTCCTCTGGTGCAATGGGGATATGAAAATACCCGGACATCCCATCTAGGAAACAGTAGAACTCGTGCCCTGCCAGTCTCTTCAGCATCTGATCAATGAATGGCAGCGGGAAGTGGTCATTCCGAGTGGCATCGTTGAGATGCCGGTAATCGACGCAGACATGGTACCCAGTCACCGTGCACATCGGAATGAGTTCGTTCTTGTCGTTAGGCACCACGGTCATCCCACCCTTTTTGGGTACCACATGGGTGGGACTGACCCACTCGCTGTCGGAAATGGCGAATATGATCCCCGCGTCCATCAGCTTCACGATCCCTGCCCGAACCACAGCCTCCAGGTTCGGTGTCAGTCTTCTCTAGGGATGTCGCACTGGTCGCATCTCATCCTCGAGCAGTATCCGGTGGGAGCAGAAGGAGGGGCTGATCCCCCGGATATCAGTGATCTTCCACGCCAGAGCTCGCTCGTACTGCTTCAGCAAGGCCACCAGTCTGACCTTCTGCTCGGGTGTGAGGGTCGAGCTAATGATGAATGGGAGCTTATTCCCCTCCCGGAGAAATGCATACTCCAAGTGAGGAGGGAGGGGCTTTAGCTCCAGCTCTGGTGGCTCCTCCAGAGAGGTAGTGATGCGAGGTGAGGATGAGATCGGTTTGAACAACCTATCGCCCTCCAGAAATGCGCCACTCTCCAGTGCAGCCAACTGCTCCTCCAGCTGCGGTTCCCGTGATGCCTGCTCACCTAGCAAAATACAACACTCAAGAGCATCGTCAGTACCCGCACTCGTTATGGCGAGCGCTGTCTCAAAATCAGCAAGCATATCACAGTATAAAGTCATCATGCAAATGGGAGTGCTTCCCATTCTCATACACAGAAAAAGTAGCCTGTTCATCCCCATCACGCAAGATCAATTTACCACTATGCTCTATGCACATCAATAAGTGCCTTGGTGGTGGCGAGAAATGGTCTACCCAAAATCAAAGGCACATTCACATCCTCATTTATATCCAGAATAACAAAATCAGCAGGATATGTGAATGCGCCTACATTAACAAGCAGATCCTTTATGATACCCCTAGGATGCACAATAGAACGGTCAGCGGCAACGGCGGCAAAAACTTGACACGCTTCTACCGTCACACTAGAAAGTGGCCAAGTGTAACCACCTACTAATGCGTAGTATAGAGGGTTTAGTTCTAATTGTCAACCCGGGTCCTAGGTGTGATGACTACTCCGTGAAAGTCTTGTTATCTAGCGGTTCAAGTGTAGTGAAGGTCAATTAAACTAGCAAGCAAAGCAGTGAAAGTTGTGTTCAAGTTGAGAGAGGTCACCCGGATATGGTTCTCCCTAAACTGAAGTTAAGCCAAGTTGTAATTTACCAAGTTCAAGTTCAATGATACTTATACTGTGGGAGGTTCTTAAACAGTTTGTAGTCTCGACTAAAGGTCTCCAGACCCTCTCAATCTGAGTCCCCAGCGGGTAGGGCTGGAAAAATAGACCAGACAGTTAGAAAAGCCATGGTCCAAACCGTACCGTACAATTTGGTATGGACCGTAGACCGTTAAGTATGGTCTGGTCTGGTCCATGGTCTGTATTATTTTATGTTTTGATATCTTGGTTTGGTCTGGTCTAGACCGCGGTTTACCGGACCAAACCATGGACCCAACCGACTTGTCAATATGTGTTAACAGCCCATTTGACCACTTTCCCAACTCCCACAACGACACCCAAGTCTCAACCTTAATTTTGTGAATCTCGTCTCTCCTTCATTCAAACCACATTTAACCAGAGAGTAGAGATAATCATGTCTCAATATGACATTATGTTAATGTTTTATGACGTTATGGTGCAAGTTGGGATGCTTGTACTTTAAATCTTTGTTATGTATTAAGAATTAGGGTATCAAAATTATTCATGCATGTTAGGATTAATGTTTTAAGGCAAATAACAATTATTTTTCTTGGTTATTAGTTCAATTTTTTGTGTGGTTGACTAAACAAATTGTTCATTTTTCGTTGAGTGTGGTCTATCTTGACCAGACCAGACCGAACCAAACCGCACAGGCGTGGTCTGGACCGGACCGTATAGTCTGTGGTCTGGTCTGTGGTCTATAATTCAGACTCTCGGTCTGGACCATAGACCGTATATATGGTCTGGTCTGGACCAGACCGCACCGTTTCCCAGCCCTACCAGCGGGCGACTAACCTCCACCGGAATAAACCGATTGAGGCCCTAACGAACCGAACCTCCTCTACCAATGTAAATCCGGTACAGAATAGTGAATTGAATCCTCGACTAAAGTCGTCAATTCACTACCTTCAATCAAGGGTGCTCTATCAACCTAGGCAGATATTCTCTTTCTAGGTCAAAGCAGAAATAACAGGAATTTGATCAGGATTCATGCCATTCAAGAAATCAAACCTCAATTGAATACAATCATATCACTGAATTTGTACTTGGGTTCATACAATCAGACCTAACATACAAATCTAGGGTTCTTCATACCCAGGTGAATGAGAAAGTTACTCCATAGAGAGATGGTAAATCTAGCTCAGACGCGGAAACCATACTGTGAAGGATGGGATTCTGCTTCTGGCAATCAATCAGCACTTCTCCAAGCTCAAGCTAGGCTCCAATGGTGATGAAGATCGATCTAAGGTGCTTGAAGAATCAGGTTCGTCACTTTCTCTCTCTAGGTATACGCTTTTTCTCTCCAAAACTTGGAACCCTTTCAAAAATGGCCTTCTTTCCCTTAAGAATCAGCTGTTCGCGATCCCCGGTCGGGTATTTCAGGTGCCCGGCCGGGGATTTTGAAATGCAGCGCCGCGGTAAAGGGTTAATACCCAATCGAGGTCCAGAATACCTGATCGGGTATTTAAGCTATCCGGTCGGGACCCCTCTTGGACTTCAGACGTCCCAAAAGCACGAATCCCCGACCTCCTTAGCATTTTACCCGGCCGAATATTTTAACTCCTGGTCGGGTATTTTGCTTTTCCAGCGCCCTTCACTCCCATGTCCTCCTTTTAGACCCGAAACTCGTTTCCTCGCCTTCACCTCAACGCCAAGTTCTGAAATATGACATAAACACACAACCTAGCGTGAAATCGGCTTAAAATACGAGAATCCACTCTCAAACGGCTCAAGAATGGAAGTAAAAACATGTGTAATTATTGGTCTATTAGTATTCAAAAGAGGATTCTAACTAAATAATAAAAAATGATGTTTTTCATAAGTCCAAATGATGTTTTTACAATAAGAAAAGTAGAAGGATCTATTATGAAATTAAGAAAACGAAATATTCCAAGTATATTCTATCAACTTTAACGGAATGCACTTAGCAGTAATCTTAAGTGGTGCCGGGTGGACATATAATAGAGTTCAGTGGCACTCGACGCCCTATTCAAACTTAAGTTTTACGTCTACCCCAATTCTCAAACTTAAGTGACACCCGAGATATTTTACCCAAATATTTGTGTACTATGTTGCCTGGTTTTCCTGATTTTGTTATTGAGGAATTAGGTTCAGGGTATTCGAAAATTTCCTATGATTTTGGATTGATCTCTTTATCTTGAGTAAAGATAAGTTAATTTTTCCCCTCGTGATGGTGGTTGGCGATGGAGTAAGGAGGATGACTCAACTCTTGATTTGAAAATTGAGGGAG